ATTAGCACACACGTCAGCAGCGTACACCCATGGGCAAATAGTAGACGCTAAATTAACCAATCAGAGCGCGCGCTTTGCTTTAGTTATGTTATAAATGTATTTGAATAATGATACTTTTTTTTTGGTCATAAGCACAATTTGCGATAATGTGAAAAGCATACCTTCTGAGGCTGGCACAGATAAATTTTGGATGAAATCGAATGACAATTCAGTAGCCTTTGAGATAAATCTATTACAACACGACGAATATATACAACGATATTTGTTACTAAATACAATTTGAAATAATTCAATTGGATAAATGTTCATATATATATTTATTAAATCCATTTTGAAATCACTGGTTATCCTTTCAATCTGATTGGCTTTCAGCAGTGCGATTTATTTACGAATCGCACTATTTTGTGCTCTAAATCCCAGTCGCATCTTTTTCTCAGGCAATGATAATGGGACAGTAAAACAAAACAACCAATCAGATTTCAAGGTTAGTTAAAAGTTAGCAATAAAATTTCAGGAAAATGAAAGAAAAAAGCCATTGTGTGGCGAATTTTGTAACAATTATTGCTAAAACTTTGTTTTTGTTGTTGTCTTTCAAAACTTTTGACAAATTTAATTAATTACAGTTTCGGAATGACGACTATGAGCTCATTCAGGCTGAGGACCTACTTTACAGGAAGTTACCAACATTCAGTGTTCATTTTGACGAATATTCTGGCGATTTTTCTTTAGCATCTGCTCAAGATCCGTCCAACAAAACATAAACAAACGAAAACCAAACAACAACAAATTCAAGGCCATCTCAAGAAGGTAGATGTTTCCAGGGTTCCGGTAGTTTCAAACGGAGCAATACAAGAACTCAACTCTGTCGCTGTGAATAAACATACGCCCCGCTCCACAAAATAGTGAATGAACGAACGTCTTCCGAAGCTGGTGCTCCGCCATCTTGAAAATATCTTGAAACAAACGACGACGCAAGAATTTGACAAGGTCTTGAGTATTAAGTACTACGCCGAGGTAACAAAAAGAAACGGAGATGATAACGAGCTGGAATCCCTTAAAATCATAAAAAGTTCCATTGAACGGTATTTAAAAGAGAAAAACCATCCACTGGGCATCGTGCACCCGAGGGAGTTTCACAACTCAAAAGTAATCCATCGCAGAATTACACTAGCTGCACCTTTAAATTCCTTCTCTAAAGACAACTAGAAGTCTCTGCCTCATCCACAGAAGAAAAGGAAGGTCTTCCATTATTGATTCAGGGGACGATAATTGAACTTTGATGCATGAAGTAGACAGTTTTCGTTCCAACTTCAGAACTGCTTGTTTCTTTGTTATGCTCGAATGAGTTTTCGTCACATGACATCGTTTTGCATACTAAATGAGATGTCAAGCCGTTTCCGGTTCCGCTATTTTAACACCGGCTACTGAATCTAAAATTTAACGCGATAAAATTGTGCGATTTCAAAATGGATTTAATAAAGTGGCAATTGAACTTCGTGTCGTGCAATTTTGGTCTGAAGTCATACTTGTGATTTCAAATCGAACTCGCGCTGCGTGCTCGTTCAATTTTGAAATCACGCGTATGATTTCAGACCAAATTGCACTCCACTTAGTTCAATTACCATTATTTAACAAAAGCTGATAAATATTTGTAGACATATCTGCATCTCTAATATAAGCTACAGGTATAACTTACAATACCGCATGGCGATCGACACATCATTTACTGGTTTTGAGTCGAATAAGCTCACTTTTCTGTTATTCTTGTATGTTTTGCTGTACTAGTTCAGTGGGGAACATTCAAATGGGAAAGCTGCGGCATTGATTAGTGATTGAAACCATAACAATCCCAGCAGACATATAGCTATTATAGTACGTATCCTACATCACAGTTTATGTTCTTTACATTATTTGACTTAAAAGGAGCCGCCTTTGTGAAATGTAAAATGTGATGTCTCTGATATTTCTCACAATGAATTCGCGTTGCATACCAGCCCTTTATATTAACGCTATAATATTGTATACATCGTTAACTTCGTCTAAATTTCTACATTTGGCGTCGTAATTATACTTGTATAAAGAGTCGTTGGTGTGTAGTAGACAACCAAAACGTTTAACTGGCAGATACAAAAAGAAAGAAATGGACTGCTACGCTGAAAAAATGAAAACCATATGACCAAACTTTATGATGGACTGGCATCTACCTTGCACTATATAAAAAACTAACGAGTGCAACAAACAAAGTAAATCATGAGGGTTACAGTTTTGTGTCACATCACAGGTCCATAACAACACGGGCAACTTATTTCAAGAGCTGTAAACACAAGATTACGTCAGCCTAATAATCAGATTTGCCATTAGCTTTGCAATTTAAACAGAAACAAGATTATAATTAAAAAGAAACCCGATTATAGTTATTATTTGTAAGAGTATCATTTAAAGTTAATGTCCCTAGGAACGACCAAAAAATAACAGTAACCTTTTTTTTTTCATTATTTTGACATAATTTTTTTTCTTGCGTTTCATGATCATTCGTCGGCAAATGCTCAACAACCATCCATTCTCATTTTAGACGAGATTTTTCCATTTTTAGTTATTAAATAGTTTTTTCTTTGACAATTGTTTACGTTATGAAAATTGAATGGCTTATCCCATTTAAAGCCTGGTGTCGAAGCATTCAGCGAACTCTTCAATTTTATCAGAGCTGGGCGTCGTTCTCTGCAAACGATGGCTTGACTTGAACCCTTTTTTGTTTAAATCGATGATGACCGAAGTACTGTTCGCTTCCATTACACGAGGTCTGATTTTTAAGGAGCAAAATAATGCCTTAACTCCTTGTCGGTAATTTGTACTGAAGATGACATAGGGATTTATAGCATTGTTGGCGTGGGCCAAGATGACGATATACATATATACAGTTTTTACAGTACAAGACGGGTTTAGATCCCAATAAAGGAGAAATAAGTACACAAAAACATTAAATGGTAGCCAAGATATGGCGAAAACTACGACCACAGCAATGACTGTCCTTAAGACATTTCTAGTTTGCCTGTTCCAAGAATTCTGCCGGTTGGTGGAAAAACGGATCCCTTTGACTTTACGTTCTCGTAACCGCACGATAATAATGGAGTACAGAATTGTCAAAGTAATCATAGGCAATATAAAGAGAAAAAAGGACAATACGATGAAGTATTCCTTGATAACGTTATCCATTTCATAAAGTGGAGCCCAGCTATAAATACAAAGGGTTTTGTTTCCTTGAACGGATAACCTCCAGGTGTAGATATATGGCGCGTGGAATCCAAACCCCACAATCCAAGTAAGAAAGATTAAGATACGTCTTACGGAAGGCGTGACGAAATTGGGTTTCAAAGGGAGAACGATGGATCGAAACCTGTCCACAGCTATCACAACTAAGCTCTCAATAAACACAGCAGTGGAGATGTCCTGGATGATGTACGTCACTCTGCAGAGTGCTTCTCCGAGAAAACCATCGACGTACCATTCATAGGGACTGTAGAGTATTTCTGTTATCCTGCGAGGAGCTCCTGTAAGCGCAAAAAGAACGTCCGAACACGCCATGTTCAGAATGAAGTAGTCCACCGTTGTGCGTAGGTTTTTTTCTTTGTAAAAGACAGCAGCAATGAGCGAGTTTCCCACCAAACTCAGGACGAGTATAGCGACATAAGCAAACGTTTGACCGACCTTTGCGTTGGCGTCTAAATTGAATGAATCCGAATAACATATTTCGTTAGAAGAATTTTGTGGAGTTGAACCATTCCCATCCATATGTTTTAACGCTGATCTCGAAACAGTTCGTCTAGGTGGAGATTTCCTACGACGCTGCCCGAAAGTCGATGTTAAGCACTTCACTCACCCGTGACAGAGTGCCAAGGATGTTGTTGCAGGATCTCTCTGATAAAGATATAATTGACAGAAAAAACTTCTGATGTGATATTAATATCCGTGGCTCTGAACTTAAGAACACATTCATCCGGGTAAAATCTCACTAGTACTGGTTGCTTCGGTTAAATAGGAAATTGGAACATACTCAAGCGATCAATTTTACACGTTGTTTGCTCAGTTAGCCACTTAAAACAGAGCCCGCAAATGAACTTTCACATTATGCTGGCTGAAGGCCACAGGTCCAGAAATTTGAATTTCATTTTTAAGGTAGATCAATATCTGAAAACAAATATGAGTGCATTGGCCAATTTTATGTGCGAAAACATAAGTAAACACAGATGACAGATGGGTGGGAATTTTAATATATTATTCATTTCCTTCAAATGTGTATATTTCTTTTGATTTTATACCATCACTGAATATCAGAATATAATCAATTATATTGAGATATTGAAAACACCCCCAAATGTTTTTTCTTTTTATTTCTTTCTTTGGTATTTTTCTTCGAGGAAGTCTGCAAGATTCCCTTTAACTGAAAAGAGGATTAACAAGCAGGTGTCAAGTGATTAGAATGGTGTATATTCAAACCCAAAATGATCAATACTTCGGAATACCCACGACCAGATAAAATCAAGCTTAAATTGTTGCTATAACTGGGTTATGTAACCATCGTGTTAAGTACAACGTAAACCGCTGCTTACCGCATTGCTTTGGCTCGACATAGGTGGCGTGGCTATATAATTGCTTTTTTTACCGACATCCAAAATTGAAACGGTAATATATTGATAGCAGTAATCGATAGATGGCGGTTAGCGTCAAAATTCAACGACAGCAACTCAAGGAAAATCGTCATTTAAAATGTAGCTGCATGCGGTATCTTGTATCGCTTACTTAGCTTCCAAACGAGAAGCACTTTCTTGTGAAGCATGTAAACAGGGCTATAAATATAAAGTACGATACTAAGCCAATGAATTAAAGGACAAAAAAGAAGGAATAATTGCATGTACACCCATTCAAGAATTTCGGTGTTCTCAATTCCGTCAATTATTAGTTTAGGCGCACTTTCAGTCCCAGTACACCAGTAAACACGTACCGGAAGTTCCCGAAAAGGGTTTCGAAGCTAAGAGGCTGTATATCAAATGTGAAAACGTCGTTGCAATACTGAATTGGACGCCACATTTGAGTCAGATCTAGAACCCTAGAGAGTTTTTAGCTCCCTCACTGATGAGAATTATTATGATAATTATCGCAGCAAAAAAAACGCCGAGCTTGAACCAACTCACAAAAATACATATTCATATACAAGCTAATCTTAAAGCCTGTGATTCAAAGGCGCGATTCAGTCTAGGTTGCCATATCTTCCCTAACAGATTATAATGTCAAAATCATCTCCACTGTTTTTTAAACTTTTTATGCACTAATTGCGTTTCGGAGAGTACGTGAAGAGGACATTGTGGGATAATAATTTTCTCATTACCATGAGGCATCAGATAGGTTACAAAACAACTGATCAGTGCTGCAGGGTGAGAAATAACGGGTTTAATTTACAACGGCACTCTTTTTTATGACACTTATTTCAGAGAAATTTAACTTAAAGGATTTGCTGCCTTGACACAAGAAGATAAGTATAAAAGTTGGTAAAGGCACAGAACTATTTTCATAAACGATTTGAAATTCAAATTTTTTTCACTTGAATTGTGACTTCGTCTAAAATACCACTTGAAAAACACAGCATCCACCTTTTAGAGTGAGATTTAGAATTTAAATGCTCTTAAGTCCAATGGAGATATATCTTCCATATTTCTCGCAGACCGTCTACTTTCTTATGATCTTCATTTCCTCCAGCTAAACCGGCAATCCAGAAAAACGCAGCTCTGTCGGAATTGCTAATTTTTCAATTTCGTGTCATTGGAAGCAGAGTCGCAAGTGGCCACAAGTTTCCACGTTGTATCGACTTACTATTTCGTTTGGCTAGGAATGGTGTGCACATGCGTTGAATTGTGATTATACATCCATTTAGATCGAGATTTAATTTTCACCTAAATCAACGCAAACCTTCCGTGGTCTGTCTGACTACCCGACGTAAACCGCTCAAGTTGGACTTATATTACAGGCACTCGATAACATTTTTTGAAACCAGTGGTTTCAAACTGAATTTGACAACCATTGTGATGTTAACCTTTACACCAGCTAGTCCAAGTCGTTCTCCAACCCGAAACAGGGACCGAACCTTGCAAGACTAAGCAAGCCTTTACAAACTGTAAAATGATTTATTTTTGTTATGGAAACTTATTGGGTGAACTTGCAAGAAAACCTGCCAGACCGTCTCGTCAGCAAACGCAACTGGCTTATTTGCCCGAATTCATATTTCAAAACCTGTAACTACTTCACACTTAAGCTGGAAACAGTCTTACGAATGCCATTGGCAATCTAGATTAAAACACAGAGAAAAAATGTAGCAAAATGCAAATTTTGAAAGTAATGTAATGCAGATTTTAAGGCAAAGACAATGGTACCTTTTTTTGAGAAAAACACTGGCTATTCTTTGTTGGTTGCTTAGCATATTTTATTAACCTATATTAATAGATGCACTGTTTGAACAAGAAACGATTTAAACAAAAATAATGTCAAGACACTGAAACCTCCTTCGTCTGTCTGCTCTCTCTGTCTGCCCTCCTTTTTATTTTTCCAGGATTAAATTTCCTTCTTTTAAGCCACTAACTTAATTTGTTCATGTTAAAATCAGGCAATTCTTTGTTTAAAATAAATGGAGCAATTTTGCAGAGTTTACACAGACCAGAGTTATCTTTAACAGCCATCGCACAAGCGGGAGTAATTTTAATTTAGAAATTATAATGCAATCCCTCTCACGACAGATGGCTGTAGATGTTTTGGCACGAAATTTGGTATGCACAATACAGGGATGACAGTCAATCAGTGAAAACTGAAGTAAAGAAGCAATATTTTCGTTTTTATCGCGCAGAGGAAATGCCTGCCTATAAATATTGTAAAATTACCTTTAAAAATTAGCCGGTTATTGGCACTGTTCAGTTTATTTTACTAATGCAACTGTACTTCCATTGCTGTGAAATTAATAATTTAAACCAATTACCTCACGAAAGTTCCGGGCGGTAGGAAGGTCTTCGGCAAAAAAGAAAGATTAGGTTTTTTCAAAATGCTAATGGTGATATTGAAATATCTTAAGATTTGAATGCTTGTGCTCCACAATTCTGCGTGCGTATCAAAGAGAATTTTTTTCGTCATAATCTCTTCGTCGCCTGTTTATTACTCAGGTCAACGTTTTCAACTCAGTTGTTTAAAATTACAAGATACAATTGTCAGGTTTTGACCTACGGAGATATATATAGTTTAAACTAACTATTGTTTAATAAATTTATGAGATGTTAATTTCCCCAGTTTTTTTGTTATTGCCAAAGGAAACGAGACTATAGTTTGTATTCCGAAAGAAACAATGTTAATTGAACGTGTAAGGTGCAAACTGTGGACGAATCGTTTGCCAGCTCGTTAGTAAGCTTTCGCACATTTCCAATTGTTACAATCATTTTCAATAGCATTAGTTTTAGAATTGTGTCGGATTATAAACAGCTTTAGATGTGTGAATTTTAAATTGATTTCAGGTTTCTAATGAAAGCAATATATCATGTTTATCTCCTGTGCAGGAAAGTCAATCCTTTAAGTGGACTCATCCAGTATTATTCAGCGTTTGCGGATAAAGTGCTACTAGCCATTTTATGACATAAAGATCTGCAGTTACAAATACTAGTATCTCCAAATTTACGGATCATTTGTAATCAAAGATGTCCACCAATGACACGATGAATAATGCGTCACATCCGTGTGGTTTTCCCGCAGACCCGTCAACAGAGAAAGCGTGGAAAACGTTTGCGTACTCCGTCATTGGCTTCGGCTCTTTACTGGTGAATTCCCTCGTTATCCTCATCATTTTCAAGATCCGTGGCATGAGATCCACCATAAATTACTTCATATTAAACATGGCGGCTTCTGACGTCCTCTTCACTGTCTTTGTTATTCCGCGCTTGTTATCAGATCTTCATTCAGCGCCATACAGATGGTTTGTGGGGGGAGTGCTCGGCTCCTTCCTTTGCAAGTTTGACTTCTTCATCCAAGATGTCTCGACGGCCGTTTCCATCCTCAGCTTGGTGGCGATCGCGGTTGATCGTTTCTACGGCGTGGTTTTCCCGATGAAAGCGAGCTTAATGAGCAGTGGTGCATTCCGCCGTAGGATTTTGGCAGCCACTTGGTTTGTGGGCGCTCTGTTGCACTCGCCATACTTCTACGCTTACAAGCTCTACGATGACGCTTTCTGCAAGTACAACTGGAGTCCTTTCCTCGATCACGACAAGACGTCAACAGTTTATTTTTTGATAATGTCTATCACCTTCTTTTTCTTCCCAGCCACCATTCTGACAATCGTCTATAGCATAATCATCATTACTCTGAAGCGCCAAAAGTTCCCGGGCAACCAGTCTGTAAAAGACAAGAAGAGGGTCGCCAAACGCAACCGAAGCGTATTGCGAATGGTCGTCGCTGTCGTAATTGTCTTCATATGCTGCTGGTTACCCTTCAACGTATCGATGTACATCGCTCTCTTTCAATGGGGCCCCAATGTCCCATGCTATGCCAGTTCGTTATTTTTCTGGGTTATTTTTATTGCCTATTCAAACGGCTGCATAAGCCCCTGCCTGTATTTTATCTTCAATGAAAATTTTCGCCAAGGATTTACAAAAGTATTTTTCCGCGGAGGAATCCGCGGTTCCATTCGAAGTAACCTGCGTTCCACTCGTCGCCGGACGGATGACGTAAGCCTCTCTACTGTTGAGCGGGTCCGACAACAGAGCATTTAAGGTCCTGTCACCACGAAAAGGAGACGTTTAAAATGCACCGCAATAACGCAACAGGAAGACTGACCTGGTAGAAATGGTGTAATTTTGAAAAAAGAAATCGACAACTGGCAGGAAACCGCGAAGAGTTATCGAACATCAACAATAGGGAGCAGGAAAAAAACAATTGGCTTTAAACCGAGGCTGGCTCAAAGCTTTACTGGTATTCGTTTGATATTTCAGTAAAACATCGTTGATGTTCAGCATGAACTGAATATCAGTTAAGAATTGCTCACTAATTCCAAGTTTCGAAATACTTTGTATGTTATGTTTTAAAAAGGCAAACATTGAGACAGAGAAAGGGCGAAATTCAATTAACTGTCTTGCTAAGAACACAGGGATCTAGGAAGAACCTTAATGTTATTTTATTAGTTGTGAAAATGACAGATACTGTACATATATGTACGGTAATTACGATTTTAAGATTGCAAATACTGTGCATTTTTCATCGCGTGAACATAGACGATTTAATAAACGTTTGGAAGATTTATTGTAATAGCGCCTAAAGAAAATTTCCACGCTCAAAGTGCTGGTCCTCCAATATGAGCCGTTTTTTGTTAAACTTGAAAAGAAAAACATAATTTACAACATTGAACTCATCGTTTCTTAAATTTTAGCTGGGTAGATGTAAACAAGTTTAAACAAAACTAACTTAACAGTGCATTTTATGCAGCTGCACCTGGTATCATTGCGAAATGTTGCATGTACATTCATAAAAGATTAGCTGTAAGCATATTTTATTCCTTGAGTTTTGAGTTTACATATTATTAGCAACGGCAACATTGAATCATTTATCTTTCCAATATTAATACTTTGCTCAACTAATTACATCGGCGCAGAACATAATGGTTATTTCATGGGTTTTCTTTGTAATGCTTTGCGAATACTAGTTGAGGAATTTTTCAAGAAAAGAATATCATTACTTAGTATAAAATAAGCCCTTCAGCGGGAAATGGTATCAAATATTAAAATAGCTTCGCGGAACTGTTTTAGCCGGTATGCCGTAAGGAAGCTTTGGAATAATCGTATTATAACCAATAAAAATGGCCTGCTAGAGGAGAAATTTGTAAAACATATAGCGGAAAATTATATTGGTGTAAGTCATTAAAAGTAGCGTGCAATAGACTTTAAAAGGAATAAAACTCACTATTACTTTTATGGCAAATTTTATGGCATTTTCAAAGTAACTATTTTCTAATTTCCAGCCTGTTTTTTAAAAAAAAAAAAACAGACAAATCAACAAATACCGTTCTTAATTGTTGTTGTTGTTTTTTCCTGTTTTGGGACATGTTTGACTGTTGCGAAAGAGTGGGCACACTTACACTGTATACTGTATACAACTCTACATGACGCAGTGAGATGGCGCTCACCGTCCGTTTTCCACCCCTTCCCCTCGCCACGATGCTGTAGCAATTCACCAGTACTCCTGCATATATAAGGAGAGAGGCACCGTGAGAGTCAAGTGTCTTGACCAAGTACGCGTTAACGGAAAACCGCTCTACATACGATATATAATATGACTCTGCAACAAGGAGAAAAGCAACTTTCACCTTAGAACAATACACCATTTGCCTACGTTTATTGACGAATCCTTAGCTCAGAGTAACAAGAACTGAACTTGAGAACAATGAATAAGAAACAAACAATACTAGAAATAAAGAACGAAAACCTCATTTAAAGTCTATAGAAGTAAAATATTGCCACAGCAGCTGACATATCGAATGATACTATTGTAAAAACGATATAAAGCTTAAAGACCCACTACGACAGAGGAATGTGGCAAGGAAGATTTCGCTCTGAAAACGCATCAAATGTTTCCCGTCCACACTACGCCGGAGGAATTTAAAAAACGCCACAATCACCCGTCATTTTCGATTTGCGTTTGAGGAAAACTCGGATACGGAAATCACGTGATTATTGTGAGGTCATCGTTTTCAAAAAGTTCAGTTTTAAAAATGTCTGCTGTCCACACGAAAATGAAAAGCACTGTTTTCAATTCCCTCCGGTTTTAAAAGCGTTTTCGAAAAGCTCCGTTTTCGCGACGGATCAGTGTGGACGGTAGGCCTAAACGTAGAATTAGCTGCGTTTTCAAATTCCCCCGGATAGTAGTGTGGACGGGGCCTAGGGTTAATGATTACGCCGAATTCAAGCACTGTTCTTAGACAAGGTAAGACAGGTGTCAGGTCAAATTAACACTAAGACATACGCTTACAGAAGACTAAGGCACCGCAATATAAAAGGAAAATATTGAACTAACCGAGCCTCAGGTCTGAGTGCTAACTTAAGACCTTGACGAGACAGACTGCGTTTTGTAATTTTACATTTTTAAAACAAACATTGTGTTTGGTTTTCTAAAAATTAAAAAAATATATATCTTCAATAACCGTAACGTTGCTCAAATCAATTTTGAGCTGACTTAAATTAAACGGTACAATCCGTGCTATCCAGCCCAGTTTGTCAACTGCATAAAAACTCAGCTGAAATTGCTGAAAGAGATAAGACGAGTTTTTTCGGCTAAACTTACAAATTGATTTACGCGGTAGCCTTACAAAGAAACGAAAGTTAATTGCCTGTTTTATTCCATCCACAAAATGAAAAAGGCAATTAAAATTTTTAAAATATCGTTCAATGATTCGGGCAACGACACTTAAGAGAAAACATTACAAAATAATGCTGTTGATGTGATTTCCAAAACTCGCAAAAAAAGTTTCTACTTTTTATGAAGCTCTGTGTGATTAGACGCCCGAATGGGTGTCTGTAGGCCGTTCAGCGGTTACTTCAGTGAGTTGGAACCTGAAGCACTACCGTGTGCGTACCGTGTAATCGTACCGTACCGTATAAAGTGTACCATTTGTATCTGCAGCTGCTCTTATGTATCGTAGGCGCACCGAAAACGCCGCGGTAGTCAGCGGGATAGCGTTTTCGGCCTTTCCTTTTAAAGACTTTCGTCTCGAATACATGATTGCTTCTGTAACGCGTCCAAACGGTCCATCTTCAAACACAAATGTCAGTGTTGCTGATCAGCCGATCGCTGAAAGAACTTTTTCTTTTAATAAGATTAAGTTTTAGATCTTACTAGATTGGGGCTGTTGATAGAGGTCATTGAGTATGCAAGCTTCCAATTCAACTATCTTTGTGAACGTTTATGTTTGTCACGCATTTTGAGTGCGTTTGCATCCCGATTTCAACACTCACACATTCGGGCATTGAGTAATTTTTTCGGGCAAGAAGGTCACCACCCTCCCAAGTCCGAAGGTGCCCGTACGCCTATGCCTGACACAGAACTCTCTTGATTTTCAGTATTCCGAAGTAACTTAAAGATATTCCGGCTAAACTTACTTGGATATCGTTTTAGACCCAGTTGAACAAATTCGGGGATCATTTCGGAGCAGGTTCCTGATTTTCGTAGAACGTAAAATACTTTGGCTGTAGTTTTTGAGAGCGCAGCTGTGATGCTGAGATGATCGAGCTAGTCAAAAACATAAGAAGGCAACTGATTCATATTTTAGTGTGCTTCACTTATGAAATTTGGGGAGCACGAAAGAAACGTTAAATTTGATTTTGGTGCAGTCGAAAGAAACTCTAGGTTCTTGACTGCTTTCTAAACTTCCCAAGTACATCACAACTCGACGATGTACGGCTAAAAGCAATGATAAATTAATCATTTTATAACATTGCCAATAGATAGATGGCGAAGCGACCTTAATTTTGAACACTAATGGGTATATTCCATTGAAATCTTAATGATCGGACAAACACAATACAGGCGTTTTGTTACCTTAAGAAAACTAAGGCCATATTTCACCTTCAAGGATGCCATGACAACAGAAAATATAAAAAACAGAATACATTTTAATGCCGCGTTTTTATTTATCTAAGTAATACATTATTTAT